ATTCTTAATAGAAATTGCTGAAAGATGTAATTTGCTTATGTATGATTTCTTATTTGTGATGGCTTCTATTATTAAAGTAGAGTATATGTTCAATAAATTCTGAATAAAGGCATAAATGAAGGGAAACAGAATTAGCTCATCTTTCACTAAGAATAACAGCAAAAGTTTACTAAAATGCCAGGCATTACTCTAAATTCTCCTAACTTCTTTTAATGAGACAGTTCTCATTATCTTTACCAATCTGCGTATGAAGAAAGTGAGGCCAATGAGTTAAGGATTTGTCCAATTGACTTATCCAGTATAAGGGATATTGATTCCAGTCTGGGAGAGAACTTATATAAATTATTGTATTACAAAGTTTCAGAAACTGAAAGCCCAAAATAAAGGAGTCTACTCTCTGAGGCAAAGTGATTTTTCACAGTCTATTATTAATGGACAAAGCAATTTCATATTTTATATTTTTCTTCAAAGAGCACTTAGTTGAAATGTTAATCATAATGAGTCACATGTCAATATAAAATCAAACATATGTAACATAATGTTAAGCAACAAGGAATGAAAATATATTTATTTCCCCAAAAGAATATAAAAGGGATCCACTGTTAACTACCGGTTAAAATATGGTGGCATATTTCAGTCACCTGTCACATGTTGATAATACCCACATTTTCTAATTTATCAAAATTCATATTAGAAAAAAACAGAAAAGAACTATTTACTATGCCATTAGAAATACAATTTTTTACTGTTAATTGTCCCTTGCTTAAATTAACATTTTCACCTTAGAAGTGAGAGCTAGACAACAGGGCTCTATTTGAAATATCACAGAATATTATATAGATGAGAAAACATCAAAATATAAGTTAAACCAACATCACTCATCGTGTAAATTGCCACTGAACAAAATTTTGAGGTAAGCTACTTGTAAGGTACTGGCATAAGTTTAAAAGCAAATGCCAGAACAATCTTCATAAGTCTATGAAGAATTACCTTCATAATACCAAAAGAAAAAAGAAAATCCTATCAATTTTTAACTTTGAGAGAACAAGACTGTTTTCTCAAAAAATTTTTATTGAATTGGGAGAAAAAAATGCACCCAGTGTCAGATTATAACGCCAAAAACATAATTATACAAGTTACTAGAACACAACTAACATTCTAATATATCCAACTGAGCTAGCTAGTTAGAATAGATATAAGAACATGTGATTCTGAAAAACAAATAATTAACTTCTGCAATATGAAGCTTCCATGTTGAGAGGCACCAAACAAGTAGGACGACACAGTTTACAATTCATATTAAATGGAAAAAAAGGAGGAAAATATAAAATGTAACTGTTTAGTCTGTTCAACTTAGCAATTTTGGGAAAAAAGAGGAAAACAACAAAACTTTCCTATGGAAAAATGAGACTTAAATCTGTAAAACTGTTTATTAGAACTGTAAAACTACAGAATGATGAAATATTTAATAAAAATATAGTAAAAGTCTACAACTATATGCAATCCATAAATACTGACAAATAGGGAAACGTTACTTAACACAAGAATATGTCAAATTTGGAAAACAGTAAAAAGTACAACTGATAAAACCACTCTGATGACTTATGAAGCTCTAAAACTCATCACATCTGTACCCTACAAAACAACTAACCTGATTGTCTCTCTTCTCAGCTAAGATATAAGCAATGTCAAGGAGCATTTTATTCCAAAGCCGATAATCATATCTGGCCATAACTGCCTTGTAACTGTCCATGCACATAGTCTTTGAAGCAGAAGGTTAAATGTTCCTGCCCATTTTATCTAGTCCCCAAGACTTGTCCTGTAAAGTGAATAAAAATGATTATCTTTTAATCTACCCTTCACACATATACCATTAAAAAATAGGCAAAGATGAGATTAAAAAAAAAATCCTTGAATATGGATAATTATCCTGTGTAAAATTAAGTTCTCAGCAAAATCTCTGAGCTATGTTGAAGGGTAGGTGACTGATATGCCTAGTTATAAAACTAGGCCTTGAAGGATAGTTAAAAATTGTACACATTGGGATTATACGAATATATTGAAATTTGAGAATAACTACAAATAAAAGTTTTATTGCTTGAAAATTCAATATAAAAATAACATTGGTGTACTTTTCTTGATATGATTTTGAAAAATATTTTCAAATTCTAATAGTTTAATCATGATATAAAAATAAGTTAGATGAAAATAAACTGGAATTTATAAGCAGTTTTAAAAGGTAATATCACAGGTAAATTATGGAAGAGGAGAATAGAAAGGTGCCAGGAGGAGGGAGCTACTCAACTCAAAAGAAATAGTAAAGTCACAACTGAAATATATTTACACATGGAAAGTTAGCATTTAGGTAAACAAAGGGATAAATTTAGAAAACAACACAATAAGTCACTGAAAATGGGACAATGATAAGGAGAGCTAAAATAGATCATCATAAAGTCAGTAATACTCCATTTACATGGCAGTGAAGGACAAATGTAGACTAATTAAAAGTGCATTTTTCATTTTTAAACATTTAAAGTAAAAATATTCTACATATTTCTATTATGTATCATTCTTTCCTTGTATTCTTATATAGATTATATAGGCGACCTTTACTCTTTAAAGGCAGAATGAATACAACTTTCTGGATTGAGAGAGTTGTCTTACTCCTACAGAGAATCTCCAGATTGCTACTGTAACAATCTGTAAATAAATTTTTATCTTCTTTTGTGTTATGAATTGTCATTTCACAATTCTATCAGCAGGACTGCATTGCTAATGCTTGACCTTCATTCATTTTTGGTCTCTTTCTCCCTTGACTTTAGGAAACCAGGTAACTTTGTATAACTACAAACTTAAATGTTCAGAAGAAATTCTTTTTTATGTTTAAGTTTTGCTTATTTCAAATCACTGAATGTGTCCAATAACCTACTAAATGGGGATTATTGTACATAGATAGATAAAACATAAAACAGAAACAAAGGGGAAAAAGCAAACACCCAAAGAAGCTACTCAGTCATCTAACTGAATATATAATGTTTAGGTATTTTTAATAAATAGCAGTACATTGTTTTCAAAACATACACCTAGATGCAAGATCTCTCTCACGAGTAATGAGAGAGGATATGCTCAAAACAAAGAATAAACTTATGTTTGTTCTGTACAGAAATTTATTCAACAAAATTATCTTTTCATTTTATTGATTAAAAGGAAAAACTGGGTGAGAGCTTTCTCTTTTCCTAAAGATAAAGAAAAGAACATTCTCAAAAGAAAATATATTGTTTCATATAGAAATGTAATTAGAAAATAATGTACACCTATATGGAGTAAGGGGGGAAAAGAACTAAAAAAAAAAAAAAAAAAACTGGGAAAAAAATATGAGTGACTATAGTATCACAGTCATTGGCTTTAAGCAACAAAATTTTAAAACAGAGATTTACAATGTATAGTTCCCAAAACATCAGCAATAGCATCTCTTAGATGGGAGTAAGCAAAGTCAGACAATCTGTTTCAATAAGTCCTGTAGGTGATTCTTGTGTTAAAAGTTTGAGAACCAAAGCTTTTGGGAGTATTTAAATATGCACTCCTTATCAAAAATGAAAGAGAGTAGTTATTTTAAGTAGGTATAGTTAAAGTATTTGAGGGAAAACAGAACAACCAACTGCTAAACTAATAAAATTACTCAGTTGTGAAAAAATAAGGAAAAATGAACATACTTGGCAGAGACATTTCCTAGATAACCCTAAAATGAAAGTCAAAGTGAAACTATAATCCATCTGTTTACAGCATACCTAAATGAACTAATTTTAGAGATATTACATTAAGATGTGCTTAGATTACTGTACTATGAATACAAAAATGCTGACTAAGCACAAAATTGCCTATAGGAAAAGATGGAATTGTTTCAAATATATGAACTAATAAATATAGCTGACTCTTGGGAGATTAGAGAAACCAGTACCTCCTGTGTAACTGGAAATCCATGTATAATTTATCTCCTTAAAAATTTAACTACCAAAAGCTTGCTATTGGCCAGAAACCTAACTGATCACATTTGTTTATATTTCTCTTGACTGTTACTTCCCATGTGTATGTGACTATTGTGCCATAGTTTAGATAAGTTATAATTTTTATAGTAATTATGATAGTACATGATAAATTAGACTTATCTACATGTACTTTATGAATTTATAATATACCTAACTTTTCCTTAATTTTTAAACATTTTTAGGGTAATGTGGGTTGTTTCAGCTTTTACAAATTGTTGCAAATTACCAAAAACAAATTGTAACATATCAATTGGAAAAAATCCTTCGACATTCAAACCATGTACATAACCTACAGTGAGCAATAAGGCCATGTAATTTTTAAAAAGACTTATTTTACTTATTTATACACCACTAAGGGGAGAAATGGGCAAGACAGAAGAGGTCTACTATGCTATGTGGGTTAGTGCCTTCGCCAGAGATTAAACTCATGCTGATGTGGTTGGCAATTGCTCTGAGACTTAACACCTGTGCCAACAGAGAGGCCCCATTAACTATGTAATTAATGGGGAGCAAATACTATGAATTTAGAATTTTAACTATTATACCCAAAATACACTGGTAAATGTATTTTGGGCCTAAATTCTTTAGCTATAAAATAAAGATGTAACAGAGTAACTAAAATGTTTAGAGAACAATTTATTGACATTTGCCATAAAGTTTCAATTTTCATTATCAAGGCTACTTAATCCCAATATCAAAGCAGACAAACATTTTATCTGAACACACAACACAAACATGAATTTGGAGGGAAAACATTTTTAGGTGCACAGTTATTTTGTCTATGGATGTTTTGTCTATGGTAACAACATCTGAAAGGGGGAAGATGGAATGGAATCCTATACCAAAACAACATTACATCAAAACAATTTTTTTACTTAATATATGATATAAAGTTTAATTAGAAAGGAACATATGTAACAGAATGAAATGAAAAGAAAATGTTTGTTTACTTACCAGCAAGGGTACTTGTATGCCTAAAAGCTCTGACCTGGGAGTCTGACAAACCAGTCAAAAGGGAGATTACTGTGTCCATCATATACTCATCATAAATTATGCTGTACTGACACTGCCGAATTAGGACTCCAATAAATTCACAAAAGTTTGAACGAAATTTTTTCCATTGAGGTCCAGGCATGGTAAGAGGATAATCACCACTGTCCTAAAGAAACAAAAGGAACATAAATACAAAATATAGGTTGGATCCAAATTTTTTTTCCTACCCATAACAAAGAAACCTTTTTTCTTCACAGTGAAAGGGGACAGAAATTGAAGATGATTTACAAAAATATAACAACATTTTTTGCTTATTTTGATCTTCTAAACTCAGTAATTGTTCATTGCACAAAATTATGCTGGGTCAAACTTAGTCACTCTTCTAGGTAACTCATTCGAAGTAATAATTCTGGTTTTATTGTACCAGGATGTTAGTTGAGAGCCTTCGAGAAATGAGCAAAATTATGTAAATAAATAGCAGAATTTTATCAAACTGATCATAACATATGTGTTATACAACATATTTCATTTTAAATAGAATTTGAGAATTTCACAAAAGTATTTCATTGAAAAACCAACACTAGATTATCATAGCTGAAACTATTTCACTGTGCTCTTAAATAGAATGAATTTATTAACTTCTCAAAAAAAATCTAAAATGGGCTCTTGATATCACTAAATCGTGTCACCTTACTTAAAATACAAACTGACAGATAACCAACTAATCTGAAGTGTTCACACTCTAGCCTAAAGTATTCTGATCAAGAAATGAACACTTATAAGGCAGCAAGACAAATTGTGTGGACATAATTATTATCTGAAATTCTTATTTGTGGATATTTGCCTTTTTTCTAGGTCAAACTGCTGCTAGGAAAATTGGCTGCAAGTTTACAAAGAAAAGCATTTTGGAAAAAGTAAAATTTTCTGTAATCAACTCAAGTTAGTTTCATGCTTTCTTCTTAATATTACTTATAAATTTCTCCTATATATGCATCTAATAATTTCTTTTCACAGTGATGCCTTTTTATTTTCAGAAAAGCTAAAAAATGATAGTATAAATGAAAGTGAAGATCTAAAACTAATAGTTAAGTTCTTTAAATGCAGTTCATTATATTCTGTACAAGGTAACTTATTGAATAAATAGAAAAAACATAGGAAGAATACAGTCCAGAAATCAGAAAACATAATACTGAAAAAAGTAAAAAGGTGTATTAAAAAAACACACCCTCCAAGTATTTTCAAGTAAACACAAGAAATCTTCATGTAATCATAACATAATAAAAACCATATATGGGCCCTCCCTGGTGGCCAGCGGGTTAAAGCACAGCACTGAGAAGCTAAAGCCACTTCCGCATGACTTCGATTCCCGCCTGCCCCGGAGGTGACCACATGGCGAGGCAGACCTCTCCCTGCCCGCTGCTCCCCTCAGCAGTGTACTTCGTCGATCTGCCTGTTCTGCTCCTCTCTCTGTCTCTGGTGAATCCTCTCACCCTCCACATCTCTGGACTGTACCTCAGTTCCATATGAATAAATAAATCTTAAAAAAACAAAAAAACATACATGAAAAACCCATAGCCAGTATTGTTATCAATGGTGAAAAGCCGAAAGCCTTTCTTTGAAGATCAGGAACAAGCCTAGGATGGAAGCCTAGGATGTGTACTCTCACCATTGCTTTTCAATATATACGAAAAGTCTAAGCCAGAGCAGTAAGACAAGAGAAAGATATACAAGGAATCCAAAAAGGCAAAGAAGAAGTAAAACTACCACTATTTGCAGGCAATATTATACAAAGAACCCTAGAAACGCCCAAGAAAAATTAATTAAAATAATAAACAAGTTTAGTAAAGCAGGATACAAAATCAACACAAAAATCAGCAGCCTTCCTATATACAAGCCATCAATCTTAAGAAGAAATTAATAAAAATCATCCCATTTACAACTGAAACAAAAAAACCAAACACCTGTGGATAAACTTAACCAAGAAGGTAAGTGACCTATGCAATGAAAATCATAAAAATGTTTAACAAAATTGTTGTCAAAAAAAAAAAAAAAGGACACAAAGAAATGGTAAGACATCTCCTGTTCATATACTGGAATAATTAACGTTATTAAAATGCTATTCTACTGAAAGTAATTTACAGATTCAATGCATCACAATTAAAAAAAAAAAAAAAGCCCTTATGACATTCAACAAATATTGATGAAATTCATATGGAGTCACAAAAAAAAACCCTCAAATAGCCAAGATGCTCCTAACTAAAAAGGAGAGTGAAGCTATCACATGCCCAGACTTCAAGCTATACACAAAGCCATAATAATTAGAACAATATGGTACTGGAACAAAACACACACATAAACCAGAAAGAAAGCCTACAAACTAACCCACAAACTAGTCTTTTACTAGAGGAAGCAAAGAATCTGCAATGGACCACGGACATTTATTCAATAAATAGTGCTGGAATACTCGACCAGCACATGCAAAAGAATGAAACTAGACTACTATCTCACATCATGCATAAAACCCAACTCAACATGGATAAAAGAATTAAACATAAGATTTAAAACATAAAATATATAAGACATAGGTAAAATACTACATGACACACATCTCAGTGACAACTTCAAGCCTCATCCCCAACAGCAAGGAATGAGTTATATCCTGACTTCTTAAGTATCTCACTTAAGCATTTCTCAAAATGACACTGGATGTCTTAGACACTGTAATTAAAGTACTTAAATCCAATGAGAAATTAATATAAATCAACTGAATACATCTTTTAAAAGAAGACTATTAAGTGAAGAGAATTATGTCAAAAGGAGATCTACAAATGTTGGATGGCGTCACATGATGAATACAGAAAACCAAAAGAAGGGTCAAAGAAAAACTCAAAAACTAACCTTTGAAAGCAGGAGGAGGAGGTGAGGGATATAGAAGAACAATGTGGGGAAGGGATACAGTGAACTATAGGGTGCTTTGGTGGTGGGACTGCTATGGTAACAACACCAGTAAGGGGATCCTATATTTCCAAAATGTACACAACAATGTGAACTAATGGTACTACAATTACATACATACATACATACATACATACATACATACATACATACATACATACATACGTACGTACATACATACATACACTAGCTTAGTTTTGTAACAAATTTAGGGTGTCATAAAAAACACTGGTCAAAAAAATTATCCAGAGGCCCTCCCTGGTGGCGCAACAGGTTAAAGCACAGCACTAAGAAGCTAAAGCCACTTCAGCATGAGTTCAATCCCCGCCCCAGAGGGGATCCACATGGTGCAGCAGAACTCTTCTGACATGCCCACTGCTACCCTAGTAGTATACTTTGTCAGTTGGCCTGTTCTGCTCCCCACTCTGTCTCTGGTAAATCCTCTCACTGCCCCCATACCTCTGGCCTGTACCCCAGTTCTGTATGCATAAATAAATAAATCTTAAAAAAAAAACAAAAAAACCCAGAAACTTATTGTATGACTAAACATACCCAAGTGGAAAAAATTCTAATATTACGAAATACCCTTTAACCAATGATTTCAGATTACACATTTGCAATTACATAGATGGCAGACTCAGACAGTGTTTATAAGATGGTGTAGGTCCAATTCTTGGCTTTGCCATTCAATAGTTATGTGACGTGACTAAAGACAAGTTTCTTTAACCCCTTTTCACTGCATTTTACCATTTGAAGAATGGAATTAGCAGTAATACAAAAGACCTGTCCCATAAGAATGTTTTATGGATATACAGTACTTACAACAGAGCCCTGCACATAATAAATGTAACAATTATTTGTTATTATACAACATATTTCCTCTTGCTCTTAATAACCTAAAATGTCAGGTTCTGTCATTATTACTTCTTATGTTACTTTTATCACATAATAAATTCATTCAGTATAATTTCTTGAGTCCTCATGATTTTTTCTATTTTATTATTCTGTTGTCTTTTGGCATTTGTCACTTCCAACTTTGATTCCCTTTAATATTCTGTTTAACGTCTTCAAAATGATGTCATCTCCAAAGTCATATGTATAACACAAGCGGGGAAGCGCACTGCAAGAAAGCATTAGAACTTCTCCATTTTTTTTTAAAAGTTAATTGTTTTAATATTTAATATAGAGAATAAGCTTGGTATGCAATCACAAAGTTCTTATTTCACACTGTCTTGTGCCACAAATGGTATCTGAAATATTATGCAAGAAAAATAAGACGATTTCATTACTCAAGGAATATTGACAGTAGAAATGGCACTTGTCACTAGTATTTTCACTTACTGTAAGTTATATATGACCAATGCAATGGGTTTATTGTTAATACTATTGAGTATTACCTCTTAGAAGCACTTATATTTCTGAAGAAATAGACCCCCAAAATCTGAGCATCTAGCCACAAATTAATAATAAGAAACATGGTGGTGTCACTAACACTTCACACACAAGCGCACATTAAACCACACAGCTATGTGCGAGGTTATGTCCCCACAATTAGTTATATAAGCACTTTTTAGACATTAATAAAATTTGAGTAAGAAAAAAATAAAATCATAACCATTTAATGACATCTGACAAGAAAATGATCTAGTAGTATGTGCATTTAATTTTATTAATAAATACACATATGCTGCAAACTATAATGCAACAAACAATATACACTCAGTCCCCTGATTACCAAGACTAGAAGGAAAAAGAAACTTTACTTAGCCCTTTACTTCTTAAGTAATCTCCCTACAAGGCATCTATTGTAAGTAGCTTTTTGGGAAAGAGAATGGGGAGCAGGAGAAGACAAGAGCATAGCTTTATAGACAAAATCAGCTTATCATAAGTGGAGAAAGTCTTACTGATGGGATGTACAAAAAAATTTAGAGATTTTAATTTAGCAATGGTAAAGACTCTTCTTTACCATATATGGCATTTCTTTAAAATTTTCTCAACTGTATACACTTGAACTATTTTTACATTAAGAAATTTTAATCATTTGATGATTAAATGTTCAAAGGAATACATGAAAATGTCTGTACATAAATTTAAATATTCACAGAAGCACAAATTATTAGGAAAAAGAAGAGTAAAAAATTTAAAGATAAGCTGTAATCATGTATAAGAGCACAATACTCAAAAATCACTGTGGGCATTGTAATGCAAAATAACGCAGACAAAAAATAAAGTCACTAAGTGACTACATTAAATGAGTTATACTGCAAAGGTTTCATTATAAATTTGCTGCACTTAAGAGTATAAAAATTACATAACTTGCTTTGAGGAAGAACTTGTAGAGTTGTGATCCTAGTAACCTGGGAAGAAGTAACTTTATATTTTGCTTTAGCTTCCAGCAGGTTCCAATAGGAACCAAGTGTTAGGAATCAAGAATCGACTCTAAAAAACTATACAGACTATGCTGGTAAATAACTGATTTCTACATTGCAGTTGGTACTACAATTACAATGGGCTTTTGGCTGTGTGCAGGTTTATAGAGCTTTCAAAGAAGAAATGTCATAACAAACATTATATCCAGTGTGTAATAAGGTACAGGAGTTATATTGTACAGTCTTAGGCAAAACAAACTCATCGACCACTGTATTCAGATTTAAATACCTTCAATTTATGTTAGTTTTAAACTCATCTCACTTTTACTTTACTTTCCTATAATACGTATTTTTATTTATTTCAGAAAATCTTAATGACTACCCCCTGTGAACCAGACTATATCTAATATATAACTTGTTTAGATGATTACATTCCAACCAATCAAAAATATTAGCTGCATTTTAAGAATTTAGTAAGTGACAAGTTCTTATTCCCCCATTACAGCTGGTTACAACAGTAACCAGTTGACAACACCCACAGTAATATTTTCTTAAGTGTATCATGACCTTCATTTCACTGAAATCCTTATTTTTCTCTGGTTTATTTAAAAATCTGGATACAAAAGCAGTGATTTCCTATTATTATATATTTTCATAGCATATTCTGTTTCTCCTTATTTCATTCTCATATGAAATATTTTTATAACTTTTTTACCTTTCTCTTTTCCCAAAATTTTGTTGTACACTAGAATCGGCAGATAAACTTTTAAAAACCTGTATATACAGGTTAAATACCTTATAAGTTAATCAGAATATCTGAGCTAGCCCAATGTCAACAGTTTTTAAATATCCCCAGATGATATTAATGTGTAACAAGTTTCAGGTACTGTCTTAAGTTGATAATAATCACTCTATGATGTGTTAGTACCCTGAAGATAAAAAAAAATACAAAATACTCTGTAATTTTTCCTAACAATCTGTATTCCAATACTGGCACAGTAGTTAGTATAGTAGTTGGTAAGTAAACCTACCACTTGCACCTTTAGCAGGCTTTGTTATTTACTATTTACATCTGTAAGCTATCTAAATTATCTAAATATAGCACAAATTATTTTAAAGTGAATAGTAGTATCATAGAAATGTTTCAGAATCCAGAGATTTTTAAATTTCAGAGGTAAACAGAGTGTAAACACCTTATATGCCATCAAATCCACAGAACTGGGCCAGCCCCCTGCAACCATTAACATACATTAACATACAGATAGTCACACTAAGATTAGAAAAAAACATACAGACTCCTGCTATTTGAAGGCCAGTCTTTCCTACCTACTAAATTGCACACAGCTTGTTAGATACACAAATAAAGATAAGTAATCATAGACCTGTATATGCATAGCCCATGATGTAAAGTGACCTATGTAAGTCAAGATATAAGTTATCTCCTACATCTCATAGAAAGAGACTAAGTAGTCTGAAAGACAACAAAAAATATTCCTGAGATTCACACAAAATTGTTTCAGTGCACGGTGCTAAAGGTGAATACCTGATGAGAAAACATATTGTGCAACTTGTGATTTTTCTTTAAAAAAAAAAAACAAAGTATTTACAGTAATTTTAAATTTTAATTAAAAAATGCCACCCAACAAAAAAAGAGTAGAATTAGAAGAAAACTGATCTCTTCGTAGTATTAAAAGTTAAAAAAGGCCCTCCCTGGTGGCGCAGCGGGTTAAAGCACAGCACTGAGAATCTAAAGCTGCTTTCGCATGAGTTCGATTCCTGCCTGCCCCGGAGGTGACCACATGATGCGGCAGACCTCTCCTGACCCGCCCGCTGCTCCCCTCAGCAGTGTACTTCGTTGATCTGCCTGTTCTGTTCCCCGCTCTGTCTCTCACCGCCCCTGAGCCTCTGGCCTGTACCCCAGTTCTGTATGCACAAATAAATAAATATTTAAAAAAAAAATAAAAAAAAAGTTAAAAAAAATCTACAAGAAAATAGAAATTTTATTTAACTCAAAAGGCAAAATGCCAAAAATAAAATTGGTAGCCTAAATCATGATATAAACTGAGTTCACCATAATTACAATAAATAAATAAAACTGTGAAAGTTTCAACACTTTCAATTAGTGTAAAAAACTGCTTGAGGGGTACTTTGGTGAAAATGGAAAATCATGTGGGAAAAAATGATTTCTGCATGATTAATTTTTGAGGGCTAACAAAGAAAGCATGTATTCTAAATGCAAATCAAAATCTTCTCAAGCAGAGTGTTCCAAATAGAAGTTCATGTTTTACACATGCCCCAAAGAGGTCAGAGTAGAGCACTCATGGTATTCTAGATTAAATATAATTAAGCAGATTTTCTCCATCATTATTCCTAAAAACATTAAAATAAAAACTGTGTTTTGATTATTTCTAACACAGGTGTAATATTCTGTCTGCTCACTTTTTGGACATCCAAATTCTTTTTTTGGAAAAGCATTTAACAGTACTGGCATTTCACAAAACATGGAACTATTGGAGGCACATTTATAAATATATTTACAAATTTGGGTATCTGAAGTGATTTCAAAGAATGAACATTCAACCTATTATCATCCACTAGCTTATCAATGAGAAAACAGTGTTATCTTTACAAGTAGTAAACACAAAATGAAAATAAAATAAGCAACATGTTTACCATTTAAAAATATAAGTAAGGCAATTTATAAACACTGAAATGTTAATACCTCATCAAACTCTTCAGTCATTTTTCTGATGATTTCTGCATTCTGCATATTTCGAAACATCTCTATTCTCACAGTACCTGTGGAACAACAGATTTTACGGTTAATCTTTTGCTATTCCATGCTAAACATTAATTTCACCACTATCTGAAAAGTATTCTATGAAAGTTCTTCCATTATTCTTTCTTCCCTCAAATTCCTATCTAAAGCAATCTTATAAGAAATTCAAAGTTCTTTAGTTTTTAAAACCTAAATATCCTGTAACCTATGTAAGTATAAAATATACTGAGAGGATGTTAATAAAGAAAAGACAGAAAAATAAAACAATGAATTTTAGGGAGGTCTGTCAGGATTGACTTAAATATTGAGTAATACTATCCAAACCTATAACTGGCTACCTTTGCCTGAAAGCACTCAACTACATCTCTTGTCATAGCTTTTTGATATTCTTTATTATTTGTATGCTCACCTAAAAATTAAAGCTAAATGTCCCTTAATATAGAAAACACATTTCAATCTGTTTTCTTTTCAAAATTAATTAATGTATTTTTAACTGAGGTAAATTAGGTTACTCCCATCAGGTATTACCACCATACTGCATCAACTCACCCATATTCTACTATTACAGGCCATTGTGTGTCCTTCCCTCTTTGCCCTTTACCTCTCTACACCTCCCCCTCAATCTGGACACTAAATTGAATTTATATGTCAAACATCAAAAGAAAGTTAACCTCTTTCTAATCTTATTCTTTTACATTCTTTCTAAGTCAGTTCATACTTATCTCAAATACGGTAAAATAAATATTATTGTTCTCACACTAAAAGCAGTTTATATTAAATGTTTCTTAAAATTAACATAATTTGAAGATTCTAAAATAAGTTTCAAAATTAACATTGTGGACAAAAAATCTGACCAAGTAATGAGTTTCATTTGAAAGTATATAAATATAAAATGTTCAAGTTAAAAATCAGGAGACTGACTCAATAAAGCAGTAAAATAATAATCACTGTGCAAACTCTTTATTGAAAAGAACAACAGCTTCAATTTAGATCATATTTAGGAATATAAAAAGAGGAATTTCTGATGTTTAGTACTCTGGCAGGTAAAAGTATGGATCAGTAAATCAACTACTAAAAGTTATCCAAGTATAGTCTTAATTTAGGGTCCTAACTTGACAGACAATGGCATACTTGGTTAAGTTAAACTAAAGTTGAGTTAATTCTTAATAATCTGTATAAGCAGAAACTGTCATCTTTTAGTAAGAACCATTTTGAAACAAGCTTTAATTACTTGATATATAGCTTTCATTTTTCAAGACACTGAATTCAATAAGTACCAACAACAGTCATTCCCTATATCTCACAAGAGAAATAAGACAGTCTACATATGTAAAAAAGAAAATATTTTTAAAGAGTTCTTCCCCAACATGCAATTGCCAAAATAAACTTGGAAACTTTTATACTGTGATTTTGTTATTTCTGTGCCAAAAACTAGTAGTGTAGACAACATTCAACATTAATGAAGACAGGTTGTTTACAATGTAGCTGTATAAAGCGTTAATAAAAGAAATGCACTAAATTCCTAATTTTAAGTTATCAAAAGCAAAATAACTGTTAGACATTCCTAATAGTACTCAAACAAAATTGTTTAACTGTATTTATCACTCTGGGTCATAAACTGCAAATCTGCAATAAATTCCCTTAGATATAAAGAAAACAACTTCAGGACTTTCATAGTAACCACACTTATAACATTTTCAAGTACTGAACAAAGAACAAAAAAGTAAAATTCGATTTTTAAATTACATGGAAAGATTAGCTGTTCATGAGTTAACATTTTAGAGTCTGAGTGGAGTGCTCACATGCATTTGTCTAAAATCATCAATCCATATCCTTAAAATGTATTAATTTTATGGATGAAAATTACATACTGGTAAAGTTGACTTTGCAAAAATTCAAGGGAAGGAACAACATTTCAATAATAGTTAATGTAATTTTAAAATACATTTAATGTGGGGGCCTCCCTGGTGGCTCAAGAGGTTAAAGCACAGCACTATGAAGTTATCTGCACCCCCTGCAGCATGGTGTGGTTTGCTCCCCAACCAGGTCAGTGACCCACATGGCAGAGAAGACCTCTCCTGCCTTATGCGCTGCTCCCCTCCGCAATATATTTCAGTCAATCTGCCTGTTCTGCTCCCCATTCTAGCTCTGGTGAATTCTCTCACCCCTCCCCACTTCTGGCCTTTACTCCAGTTCTTGTATACATAAATAAGTAAATCTTAAAAAATGAAGTACGTCCAGTATAAATAACGTTCAATTCTTATTTCCATGACTGATAGTGCATCCAAGAGTGGTCTTTTGGGTGGGTTAAAGCACAGCACTGAGAAGCTAAAGTCACTTCAGCAAGAGTTCCATCCACCGCCCACAGAGGTGACCCACATGGCATGGGACAGACCTCTCCTGTCTCGCCTGCTGCTCCCCTCAGCAGTGTACTTAATCAGCTGGCCTGTCCTGCTCCCCACTCTATCTCTGGTCAATGCTCTCACCACCCCTGCATCTCTGGCCTATACCCCAGTTTTGTATGCATAAATAAATCATAAAAAAAAAAGGAGAGTGACCACTTGAATCAGACAAAGATAGTACAGTCTAAATCTTAGCACCAACAGTTAGTAAGGTATGCCACAGGAAAAGTCAACTGTTCTCTGCAAAACTCAGATTTCTAGTCTTTAAAATGTTAATAACACTCCAGAGCAGGCATATTGTTTTGTTCAATATTGTAATTCCCAACACCCATGACAGGATCTTAGCATGTGGGATTAAAAATATGCCTGCATAACAAATAAAAGACTAGAGATGATATAAAACTGACAGTGCCAAGTTTCTTGCACGTACCTGTAAGATGTTCAATCAATACTGACACTCCTACTTAAGCCATCAACTTTTTTGCTCACTTTGGAGGGAATTTGTTTAAAGCTCAACTCCTTAATCGATCTGTGCTGGAAACCAGACTTATGTATGTGCTACTTATGTATGTTGTTGAGTTAATGTTTGAAGAATGAGAACAGTGTTCACCTCTTTTATCCCACAACCAGTGAAACATAATCCAGCAATTTTTCCATCACCCAAACCCACAGTCTTTACCTTCAGAGTGAATATCACCAGAAACAATAACACAATTTTTAAAAAGATTTATTTATGCATACAAGAACTGGGGTACAGGCCAGAGGTACGGGAGTGGAGGATGAGATGATTCACTAGTGATAGAGCGGGGAGCAGAACAGGTGGATCTACTGAAATACACTGTTGAGTGGAGGGGCAAATGAGATAGGAGAGGTCTACTGCACCATGCAGTCTAGCACCCTGGTTGAGGATGGAACTCAGGCGATAGCAAGTGATCGTGCTGAAACTTAATCCCTACATTGGAACTTTCCATGTGAGTACCAATTAACTAGCTTTTCTAGACAGAAGAGGGTATAATCTATCAATATGAGAAAAATAAATTTACTAAGTATTAGGATTTAAAATTTTAGAGCTCAGTTGAGCCATGTAGTGTACCAAGGGTTAAAAATAGGCACCTGGGGCCCTCCCTGGTGGCGCAGCGGGTTAAAGCACTGAACTGAGAAACTAAAGCCACTTCCGCATGAGTTCGATCCCCGCCTGCCTCGGAGGTGACCACATGGCGTGGCAGACCTCTCCTGACCCGCCCGCTG